TGTGTTGAGAATAATTTGTTAGGCGATCAAGTCAAGCTGTGGTATGAACTAGAGTCATACGGAACTTACAAATCGGCCTATCCTCGTTTCGCTGCGGATAAACGAGCGCTTCGAATACGAGTCTTCAACATATCACTACCAAGAGCGATATATTGTAGGTATGCTATGGCTGAGAACGACACGCAATTTCCCAAAAACTGCTATTCAGTTGCAGTCACTCGAAAAAAGATTCAATTAAGACGTCAATTTGAAACAACGCTATAGTTAGACCATCAACGACGATCCCGATAAAGGATACATTGTTCCTGTTGGTCCGCACCATCCGCATAATAGCACTGCTCGAGAATGGTACTTACCACATCATCCACTGATAAATCCCAACATGCCTGAAAAAGTGAGATAGGTACTGAATGGTGCATCAAAATGACATGAAACACCTTTGAATCACTCTTTTGATTTGACCTGATCTGCTGGAGCTTACTAAGAGTTCTACGGTTCCAACAATTCAAATATGAGGTTTCCGCTGACAAAGAAGGAATGTTCTTGCAAGTTGATGAAGTACTAATCTATCAACATGATTTGCATTTTGTTGCGGCGGAATGACCCCACAAAAGATGTGAGTGCTTATCAGTACAGTAGGCACATGTTTGAGGCTCAGGAATCCCCAACATGTGCCAATTTCGCGCTCCATCGAACCGCCCGCAATGATCGCGAAACGTATCCCGCAGCGGCAAACGCAGTCCTCGTGAATTTTTATATGGACGACTTAAAGAGTCGGCTACTGGGTTTAGTAACCGACTCTAAGGATGCCATTCAATTGTGTTCCGACCTTGTGAAACTTTTGACACTAGGAGGATTCAAACTAACTAAGTTTGTCAGCAATGCTCCAGGATTGGCAGCTAAAACGAATTCCGATGTTGGCAAAGTCGGTCCGACTAAAGACATTGCTGCTACTCTTGAAAACATGACCCATGTCTTAAGTCTGAATCGAACCATGAGGCTGATGATTTGGTGGTTAGTCGCGGAGTTAATCAAGAACTCAATTACGCATCTCGCAGCCCCCTGCTTCATTTTTCTGTTTTCGACCCCATAGGCCTTGTCGCTCCGTACAACGTCCGTGCACGTCTTCTGTTAAAAGATATATGGCGCATATCTGGCCGACAATGTGACGACCTCTTGCCTGATGATCTGCAGCAAAATTTCCTTGAATGGCATAGTGGGTTGCTAATTCTAGATAAACTAGCAATACCTCGCGCGTATTTTGATTGTCCCCTAGACAACACAGAACTGCAGATGTTCGAAGACAGCTCACGAGATATCTTCTGTGCCGTTTCATATTTACGAGCCCGCCCTGTCGCGACCAATGAAACGCAATTAACTTTTGTTTTTTTGTCAAGCTAGAATCGCTCCCATGAAAATGCTTTCAATACCAAAACTGAAGTTACACGCTTCACTCCTAGCGAGCCGGCTGACAACGGATATCGAAAACTGTTTGGTTTTGAAATTGATCGTTTTTTCATGGGGACGGCCAGCACAACCAATCTTCAATGGATGAATTCAACAATCTAACATCCGGTTTTTGTTGCAAATTGCATCTACGAAACTTTTGAAACCACTATTTTCATTAAACGGATTCTAAGCCAATCAACGGATCAGGAGGGTTCCCTTAATAGCATAATAGGAGGGCGTTCGAGTTTGTCAGGTCGTATAATTGATCCTCTGCCATGACGATTATAGTAGTTAACACTAATTAGGGCGAGCTAGGCTGATTAGCTAGTTTACACACAAAGTACAGCACAAACATAGATAAGCTAACTAGCAGGAAAAAAGTAAGATTCAAACCGCGAAAACAAAAAACAAAATTAAAAAAACTAGATCTACCAAAATAATCAGATTGTTGTGTCAAACTCTAATGAACGAAAATCATTCAGTAAAAAAATCAGACTATCCATTGTTAAACTAAAAACCCGAAAATTTTCGAAGCGGTAACAGCAACACAAAGAAGAAATATTGAAAAAAACACATGACATGCTGAAAACTTATATGTTGCTAGGCCAATTGCAGATTTGAGAAAATGTATCAGTTATTCCGTTAGACAAGCTCTTTATCTGGAGAAAACTATGTTCCGATATAACAAGTCTTGCTAACAGTTTAGCTAAAGTATAAACATAAATTTTCAATCTATTTGTTCCGACCATTGAAAATGGGGAAGAACTTTGTAATCGGGTATTTCTTGTTTCGACCATTTGAAAAATGGGGAAGAACTTTGTATACGGGTGTAATATATTCTTTTTTCTTTTTTTTTGTTTTCCACGCAAAATCAGCTACCACAAAAAATCATCGGAGAGAATTGAGTGATATATCATTTTAAAGCCCTTTCAGTCGTTATTCAAACAACATTCAAAAAACTTGAAAAAATTTTCCCAGCGTCGACAAAAACTTATTATAAAATTGTGATTTTTTGTCTAAACTCGAGCGAGTAAAGCGAGCAAGCAAGCCTATTAATTTTTAACCCATGCCTTTATTTTAACTTTACGCGTGTAAAACTAATCTAAGGAGAGTTTTAATGCCAGTATGGGAATCAAAAATTTCTAAAATTCCAAAAAAAATGTCCGCAAAGAAAATTTGAAAAGTTTTAATTTTTTTTCATGTTTTTATGATTTAATTTGTTTCTGTAAAACTATTGTCCTGTTTGCCTATTCTACGATGACTGTCAAATAAGCCTAAATTATAATTTTATTTCAGATCCTTTTATCATACCAAGCAGAAACAACTACACTTAAGTTGAAAATTTTTTTTTCTTGTAGTTCTGTGCTACTTGCGCAGTTCTGTTCTGCTTGCGCAGTTCTGTGCTATTTTCACAGTAAGACAATGATCGGAACATAACATTCTGTGCTACTTGCGGAGCAACCGGCTATCCTGGTTATTTTTTCTTTGTTTTCCACGCAAAATGAGATGCCACGCATAATCATTGGAAAGGGCCGAGTAACATATCATATTAGCTCTTTCAGTAGAGACTTGAACATAATAAAAAATTATTAAAAATGAAAAAAAAAAACTGGTTTAAAAGTCTCGGCCCAATTCGAGCGAATAAAGCGAGTCAGCCAGATTTTTATAGAAGGAAAAACCTTGAAACTTTTATTCAAGCCCTGTAAATTTAGTTTTTCTAGAGTAAAAATAGTTTGAAGTTTTTTTTGGGAATAAAATATTTCAAAAAAAGAAAATGTTTCAGAAAATTGGTTTGATTTTTTCAAATGATTTTCTGCTTCTTTTTCTAGAAATTTTTTGGAAAAAAACTTGTGTAATTTGCCATGGCTGCCGAATATGTCTAATTTGCCATGGCTGCCGAATATGTCTAAGTTCTAGGCTTTCGTTACGATCCTTTCATGACACCACACGCAACAAACGATAGTAACTTGTGTATTTTGTTATGGCTGCCGAATATGCCTAAGTTTTAGGCTTTCGTTAAGATCTTTTCATGACACCACACACAACAAACGATGCTAATTTGAAATAAAAAAAAAATTTTTTTTTTGTAGTTTTTTCAAGAATATGGTCCGAACATTCTGTAAAACTTGCACAGCAACCGGTTGTCTTTTTCATGTCAAAACATGATTCTTATTTTAGTTAAAGTTACGCAAGTACAAGTTCAGGCGCGGATCTAGGAATTTCTCCAGGGGGGCGGATTTTTTCCGCGGGGGGCGGAATTGAAATTTTTTCGACCTTTTTTTTAGGTCGACCAAATTGATTTTCTGAGCTCTCCCAAATCACGTAAAAGACCCTTTTTGGCCAAATTTAGCGTTTTTTCGCCGCGCGCTCCCCCCTCAAAATAAGTATATATTCGCGACAACGGTACCTTTAGGACATTTTTTAGGGCCAGTCACCAAAAACGGATTTCTCAAAATAGTACAAAGGGGGACCCTTTGGGTCGGTAGGGTGTCGAATCCCTCAGGGGGGGGGGGTTCTGCCCCTCCTTTTATCCGCTACTGCACAAGTAACTGAAAATTTTTCTCTATGATGATAGATAAGCACCCTACCTCCCAGCCGATATAATTCGGTAATGCCTAATTTTTCGTGGGAAAGTTCTACTTGATGCATAATATTGTACATAAATGATCAAAATAAAAAATTTTAGAAGGCAAGAAATTTATTGTTCAACAAATTACGTAATCAAAAGTATAAAGTAGTTGTCCAAAAAAAAATTAAATCACAACAGTAGGAGCAAGAAATGTGGTGCTGGGTAACTTCTTACAGACTATTCAAATAATATTTTTAAAACGCTTGATGTAATAACCATCTTTCCGAATCATAAAATAGCCAAAAAATAAGTTCATCGAAGAAATAAAAATACTCATTTTGACTTGTCAAAAAACCAAAAATTTCAAACCCAACTCGCTGAAAACCTTAAATATCGATAGAATCTCGACTGAAAGAGCTTTACTATCCGCCTATGAAAGCCTCGTGTTCCTGACTGTTTCAAAAACACTCCATAGCATTAACTTCATCTTAAAATCAACCCCCATGTTAGCATCTTAGCGACCTGAGGCTTACTTTGCTGGTAGAAAAAGAATCAAGAAAACGTTAATTCTAACAAACTTGATTAATTTTTCAAGAGTGGTAAAACAGTAAATGTCTCACAAGGATAACTGTGCAAGTGGCAGAATGTTGCTGTGCAAGTGGTAGATTGTTCCGACCTCGCTATCATATTTTTTGCCCAAATTTCTCGTTATTTTGTTCTGTAAAAGGCGATTGAACTGGGCCAAATATTACTACAATGAGTTTTAACATTAGCTAAATATCGTTACATTTATCAGTAGAGTTTGATTTGGAGGTCAGCCTTTATTCAAAAATGGTCTAATTTAGTCTGCAAACCGGAAACGTTCAGACCAATTTTTCTCAAGACAAGCAAACTTTCAGGGGGTGGTCGGTACAATTAGCAAAAAAATCTTTACTAACAATTGAATTTGATTCAAAACTAAATTGATTCAAAACTGACTTACCAACGGCATGTTCAATCGAGAAGACAGTCTCAGCAGCTTTCATCTTGGTTACTTCTTCTTTGGTTACAAAACCAATATGACCAATAACTAGTTGTAATTTACGTGTGAACACTGTTTTCAGGAACAGTGTATCGTTTCTTTGCTTTATCTGCGATTATGAACACAGTTCAAACACCTAAATGGGTTAGTAATCCATAAGAAACAATAGTTTAATTTGCTTGTCTTTCGTATCTTCGATAAAGGTTACGGAGTGATTGTCCTGTTTTCAAAAAACTTGTCGCTAGAAATGCCTCGAAGAGCACCTACGCTGAGCTTTAATTCAAATAAAAAGAAGGAGAACAATTAATTTCTCTCAAAAAGAATAACCTCTCATCTTCGCGTTATCCGGCTTCTCAAATAGGACCACTATCTTTCGGCAGTTCAAGTTACCCGAATTTGTTCACGAAAAAGTACAATGAACTTATCCTTTTACTCTTGAAATGATGGTAATTTGAGCATGCATATTGTACTCGCAAAAAATTAACATTGATAAAATCTTGCCATCATATAAGAACTGAACTTCCCAAAGTATAATCGAATTCCAGGAAACCCCGACAAATAAGAAAGCTGTCGGAACTGTAGTCTCGGATTAAGGAGCAGAACTTTTTATTGAGGTTAGAAGAAACTGATAGCACTTCTTTTACAGTTCTCAGAGCTAAAGCGATCTTATATGCGCTGGTTTAAAATCTAGCAAACGCAGTTTACAGCCTCAAAATAGCAAAAATTTCCTACTAACATAAGTCACAGTCGCACGGTCAACTGTCATAAAAAAGATCGGTCAACTTGAAATGAATTTATACAACTCGAATTGATAATTTTTTCATCATTTAACAAAACACAAGAACTTGCACGCCAGTGTTCTCAATTTAACACTACAAATAAACACTACACTTAGTACTAGCGCAAAACGCCTTAAGAGTGAAGTATTATTCTGCTTCACCAAATTTACGAAAACTATGAATGGTACTATTTTATTACCACCAAGGAAAAGTCACTGAGAGTTTCAATCAGGTCAGAAAGTCTCGCAACAGCGAGCAAAAGCCTGGATAAATCCAAAACACTTCAAGTTAGGGAGATCATAATCATCAATTAACATAGTCACAAAAATTGAAGCGAGTATTATCAGTTTTTAAAATCTATGTTATCAAAGAATTTTGAAAAAAGGATAGGACGGCGCAAATCAACTGAAATAGTAAATAGTACCATCTTCTGTACAACAACCCATCGGACAACTGAAATATTGGAAATTGACTTTTCTCGCACTATATGACATTTACTCAGCTGATACAAATGTCCTCTAAAAGAAAACTAAGCATTTGTTCCAACACTAGCTTTTCAAATGCCCCGTGCCATAAAAACCCAACATAAGTACAGGTCTACACTGGCGAAGTTGAGCTTCACAGCACGAGCGAAACGCAGATGAATGGTTCTTAGAAGCATGGGGATATAAGAAAAATTATCCTTTAACATGTTTCCAGAAATTGCAAAAATTCAAATTGAATTCAGGAGGTAGAAAGGCTCACGTTCCAAAAATGATCTGTTTCTGGTTAATTCAAGAAGAAAAGAAGCATTTGCAAGAACAACAAAAATATTTGAAAAAAAAACAAAAAAAACTAAACAGGCTAAGACGCTCTTTACATAAGCTACCAAAAATCATGAATAACGTTTCTGAAAACCTGCTTCACAATTCAATTTGACCTTTATTTTCCGGACGAAAAGATTTGAAATATTTCAGAAGTGAAAAATATATTCCGACTCAATGCTAACTTAATAAGCAATTATGCTAGCCAGTAAAGCAAACAAAGCAAAGCAAGACGCGCAGCTCGAAGAAAATTATTAGCCGAATATTGAATTACTATTTATTAAAGCTGTTAGACTTTTTTCGTTCGATTTGCTGGAAAGCAAGTCGAGAAATAAATACTCGTTTATAACTCAATTCGTTCAATTACCCGACAAAATGCCTTTGTTTGCTTTGCTTGTTATTTTTCGACGAAAGTGCGGAAAATTTATGCATGGTGTGGTTTTTTTCAGTCACTTTTCGACTGGTTAACTAATCGTTTTTGACAAGTTTTTCAAATATTATCTTATAAATACTGTTAAATTGAGCTCAAACTTAAAAATATATTGTACCTGTGATAAATTTTCGTATAAATACGGGTCTTGAAAAATTGCTAATTTGGCATATTTGAGATAGTTAACGTGATATATTGCATTCTTATAACACGCGTAAGAAGCAAATTAATGCGTTCCAACTGAAAATGAGACCAGCAATTTAATCCTATTAACACAATACGAGACGCTAAACACAGTCTTTATATTTTACACAGCCTGTGGGGGATGAAATGAAGACATTAAAAAAAACATTTCTCAAATATTTTGTCAAATATTCAATTAAAAAATACTTTTCAATTGGCCTTCAGTGCAGTCGGAAGATTCAGGGCCTTGCCCTGATACACGAGCCGTTAAGTTCATTGTCTAGATGAGACCAGTCTCTTTGTCATTCACCCAAATTCTGAATCAAACTTTTCTGAACAAAAAAGTCCAAACATTACGTCACCTTATTTGAAATTCTAAGGAAAATAGGTTGTACTAAAATCCTCAGCGCCGCTTGAATCTAACCGCTAGTTTATTTGACTATACTGCAATAAAACCGGAAATATAGCTGATCAAAAAATTGTTCGACTCAACTTAGAAAGAGTCAACTCGTTGCATAGTACAAGCCACCTATTCTGTAAAAACAACCTAAATTAAGCTCAAAGACAAGGTGACTTTTTCAAAACAAACTTAGAAGTAGGAAAAAACTCAAACTGATTTGAATCGATTTTTCAAGGGCAAGCCGCAAAAATATTAGTAAAGTAGGTGATATGACTTTCCATAAAACCTAGCAGGCCCACTGCGGCCAAAGCTGCTCCTGAAAAATGGCGCGTTTATTTTCAATAGAAAAATGGGTAAGATGGATGAATGGTTAGCTGGTGGTAGGAATTAGGGACTGCTGCATGATTGAATGGATGGATTAAAGGCAGAATGGATGAATAATTAGCTGGATAGATGGATGAACGCATGGATGGTTGCCTAAATGGGTAGCTAGACGGCTGGTTGGAGTAAAGGTTGGCTTGAGTGATGACCGGATTGAAAAATGGCAGGCTGGATGTATAAAGGTAACAATGGATGACGAGTTGGATGGGTGGCTGAATTGTGGAGAGCATGGATAGATGCGCTAAATGGATGGATAACTGTTTGATGGACTGTATAGATGAATTGATGGCTGGATAGATCGCTGGCTGAATAGCTAGATGGATGGCTGGCTGTAGGGTGGTAACGGTATGGCGGAACAGACGGCTAGAACGATGGATTGCGTGTTAGATGGAGAGATTGCTAGTTGTATGGATGACTAGATCGATGATGAATGACTGCAAGGATGACTGGTGGGATCCATGGAATGCTAGATGGATGCATAGCTTAATGGATGGATGCGGGTCGGATGAATATATTAATGGAAAGATGGCTATATTAGCAAAAAATGGTTGGATGGATGACTGGCTGAACATTTCGATGGCCTGACGGATAGATTGACAGACGATTGATGGCTGACTGAGATGTGTGGAGTGTTGGATGGATGTATAGACGGCAGGATGTGTGGAGGGCTCGAATGATTGATCGTTAATTGACTGGATGGCTGGAATGCAGCATGAATGAAAAGCTGAGTCACTAGATAGATGGATCGCAGGTTGGATGGAAAAATTCTGGCCAGAAGGATGATGGCTTGATGGACAGCCTGGATGGCTAGTTGACGAGTGGCTGGAAAAATGCTTAAAAATTGAGAAAATATAATAATATGGAGGCCACATCTGGAAATGCTGGTGGCAAGTGGACATCACCCCAACAAAAGGTCAACAATTTCAGTTTGATATGTCATGAAAGCACCATAACTGGAAAACTAAGGGGCGCTGAGCAGTGAAATTTGAAAGCCAGATGAAAATTCTCTAAGATCACCTTGAAAGCGCCCCACCATGAGTTGTGAGATTACCAAGGAAAAAAGAATTTCTAAGTAAATTTCAATATAACTAACGTGTACCGCACCTCCGGTGCTTCGAAATTTTAACAACTCATAAGAAACCGCACATATTAGAAAGGAAATGTGCAATTTTCAACTATGTACGTTGATAAAAATTAAAATGAAATAATAAACGTCACATCTTGGAAGCTAATAGCAATTGAGCAGTCGCATTTGGACAAAAGATTTGCAAATCCTGAAAGTACTCTTACAGTACCTAACTACCTACAGTGTTGGGAATTTCAAATTGCGATAAAATTCAAACTGAAGTTTACTAAAAACCCATAAAAATTGACAGATTTAGCAAAATACCCAGGATTGAGCAGTCTTATTTGGAGGCAAGAGAGGCAACCCCTGAGAGTACTCTGACAGCCCCCAACTAAGAGTTGGGAATTTCACATTTTGAAAAAAAAATTAGGTTTTCTGAAACACTTTTGAAAAAATCACATAAAATGTCATGTACTGAAAACTATAAAAATATGAGCAATCATATTTCGGGGGCAAATTTTGAAGAAAAAAAAAACTAAATTTAAAATTTTTGAAAACACCATAAAAAAACGTAATATCTCAGAAATTACAAAGATTTGAACGGTAAAATTTGGACGAAAGACTGACAACCCCTGAGATTTACCTGATAGCTTGCAACTACAGGGTTAGGCATTTCAAATCTAGAAGAAAAACTTTATTTAAGTTTTCTGAAATTCTTTGAAAAAAAAACCATAAAAAAACTTCATATCTCTGAAACTACCAAAATTTGAGGAGTCACATTTGGAGGTAAGAGTGACAACTTCTGAGGGTGCAATGACAGCCCCCAACTACAGGGTTAGGGATTTCAAACTTGGAAGAAAATTAGTTGAAGTCTCCTGAAAATTTTTTGTGAAAATAGCAAAAAACGTCATATCTCGAAAACTACAAGAAATTGCATGTCATAATTGGATGCAAAATTCACAATCCTTGTGAGTACTCTGAAAGCACCCAACTAAAGGGTTGCGAACTTCAAATTTTGTAATTTATTTTGTGTAATCTCAGTTTTCTTAAAATTTTTGAAAAAATCACTAAATCGTCGTATCTCGCACACTAAAAGGATTTGGGCATTCGTATTGAGAGGTCTTAATTGCAGCTCCTGGACACCATCTCACTATTAGCTTGCGGATTGTAAGCTTATTAAAAAAACTACTGAAACCAAGCTCGAAAATCGACAAAAAAATTTAACCATTGCAAAATGCGATTTAGCTTAAACCTGAAACTTTTTTATTGTTAAACATGCAAAAATAATACGTTGAAAAACCTTAAAGGTGGCGAGATAAGGAAGCCTGCATTTAAATATATAATAGATCACAAGATTGAAAACTTCAAATATTTTGAATTTTTTTAAATCTAATTTTTCTGAAAAATTGAAAAGAAATTATAAAACACGCCATATGATAAAACACGAAATTATAAAACTACAAGAACTGGAGCAGTCATATTTGGCGGCATGTTTTGCAATCCTTGAGAGTATTGTGACAGTACCCAACTACAGGGTTGGGAAACTTCAAGTTTTGTAAATTATTTTGTTAACTGAGTTTTCTGAAAAATCACAAAAATCGTCATATCTCGTACACCAGATGATTTGAGCATTCATAATTGAAGACAAAATCACAACCCTCGGGGAACTCTGACAACATCCCACTTTTGTGTTGCTTACTTTTAACTCGGTAGAACAAACACTAGATTCAAACTGCAAAATCGAAAAAAAAAATCTTGAGCATTGCTATATACGATATAACCACGGCAAGATACGTGCCACACATTTAAATAGGGAACTGGTTTTGAAATCCATACAAAAAAAAACAATAAAAAACGGCCTATCTCGGCAAGTAAAAGGTTCTGAACCCTCACTTTTGAAGGCAATACTTGAAACCCCTGTTAAAACCCTGAAAATATCCAAGTTTAGGGTTGAAAATTTTGCGTTGTTTAAGATATCTAATCTAAATTTTTTTGAAAGTTTTGCCAAAAAATTAAGAAAAACTTAATGACTCGGAAAAAACAATTTAGGTATTCATTTCTGGAGGTCAACTTTGCAACTCCTGGGAGGTAAATATTGCATTGATAGATAAATCCAATTTTTACACTACACTACTCTGCGCTGTCTACATCCTCTCCTCCCAAGCTGGCATCATAGCTACCGCCTTACAATCGGACAATTCATTAGGCCTAGCAGTCAAACTGGAAAATCGAAAAAATGAGCTTTGTATAACACGTTATTATAAATTAAACATGAAATTCTTTCGCTAAACATGCAAAAAAATATACCGCTTTAACATGGTGAGATACATGTCACACACATTTAACTATAGCATAGACAGATATAGATATTATACAGTGTCGATTTAAAGTATGCGGACGAAAGAAACTAGAAATTTAAAACACGTTTATCTGTACCAGAATTTTTCAAGTGTTATATTTCGTCCAAAATTTAACCCAAAATGTATCCAAAATTTAACCACAAAAACAACCATTCTCGGTTTTTTAACCAATCAAAAAATACGCGAAAACTATCGCTTCAATTGGTGACAAAAATATATCAAAGTGAGGCTCTTTTATAGCCCAAAAATTAAGGAAAATTGTTATCGTTTCAGTTTTGTAAAATTATACCTATTTTCGTTTGATAGCCAAAAAATGTCAATTTTAGTATATTAAAAACCAATTGTTTCTTTAAAAACAAAATTTAATGTTTTGCGAAAAATTTTGGAGATCAGACACAGGTAAATATTTTGTTTTCGGGTAAAATTTTGGGCCGAAGTAAAATAAATTGCACCAAATTAATTCTCCTGAAAGCAAGTTTTGCCTTCATCATTATACCTAAAGTCAACCCAATTTAAGAAAAACGCGTTTTAAATATCAATTTTTATTCGTATTGACCGGATAAACTAAATCAGCACTGTAGCATATATGGATATAGATATTGTCAACCGACATCAGGAAAAGCGCTCATATAAATTGCGAAATCTGAGAAAAACTAAAAACAGATTGAACGTTTTTAGTAACTCAAACCCACAGAAACGACCAAAAATATATCAAAAATGCCTTGAACCGAAAATGTCTTGAACAATAATAATTTTCAAGCTCATTCGCAACTTTATTTTGAGCAGTTTTGAATAACTACTAATCACGTCTCAATTTATGAAACAGATGTAGTTCTATTTGTTATGAACACAATTTCATTTTAAACAAAAAAATCCGGTCCTGTGAAAAACCGATCCCACTCACACTGAAAAGATTTTCACTCTCGTCTCCTGCACAATTAAAAGCTAAAGCACTGCTTAACTTAACAGATACTTGATGTACCAAAGGAAAATCGAAAGCAAAAAGGTTAGCCGGAGCTGTGGAAGTAGCATCACAGAATGACCTGACGACACTAAAAAAAAAACATTTTACACTTTTTTCTTAACTTCTGGTTCTTTTTAGCACATGGCGACTAAATTAGGTAGACAAACAGATAAACAGATATATATGGTGATAGGAATTTTAGCATACTCAGAACAATTAGCAAGTCAGAAAGCTAACTTAAAAAGCGGCGTTGGCAATTAGCGACCGCTTGCTTCATTGCGCTTCCATTCGACACGAGTGTGGAACTCAAGGCATAGATTTTCGATTTGGAGCTCAAGGCACTAAATTGAAACTCAATTTGAGAAAAAAATTACAAAATATATGAATTTATTATCTCTCAAAACTAGTTTTTTGTTTGTTTACAACTTCCAGAATTTATAGCAAACTAATTTATTCTTTGCTTTCGGTCAAAGCCGGAACAATATATATTCAATTAGACAAATAATCGATCGAATTTGAAATAGATTTCAGATGGGACAGAATGTTATCCTTGTGAAGGGTTCTCATGATACAGTTTTTAACGATAGTAAATAGTAAAGAGTTTGTGGTCACTCCTTTTACCACAATTATATTATCGAAGAAAAGTTTCCTTCAAATTCAGTTTTCACAATAGAACATCGATGAGCCAGATCTATTTTGCATTAGAATTCCGACTGTCTCTATGGGCACTTCTCACAAATGAACCAATAAAATCAAGCCCATCTAATTTTTAGCAGCCTTTTAATTTATATCATTCAATAGCAACATCATTTAGCTATCATCTAATATCAAACTAGCACACATGGGGAAAATGCAAACATCACCAATAGACAGTTGGTATTGCAAACAGGGGTCAATGAACTCAAGAAAACCGAATACAAACAACCGATTATTTTGGGCTTTGATAAATTTATAAAAAAATATATATATATAATTGGCTTTGATGAGAATTTTTTATGATAAAACTTCAAAAGAAAAATCAAACTGAGCAAATGCATCAATAGTTGAAACCACTAAAAACTAAAACCTAAGTCATTCGCGTTTTTTTTGCGCCATTTACATCTTCATTGGTGTGAAGAGTGTAATAAACCTTTAAAACCTGAATAGTGAAAACCGACGAGCTAAAAAAAGTGTGTTCACTTGGTGCATTGACACTCACAAACTAGAAAATAAATCGATACAAAACGTGGGTTTAGTTGCGCAGAATGTGAACTTGCTTTTAAATGTAATATAACTACAGTGAATCATGACAGATAAACATTATTTTGAAGCATGCTTGCATTTTAACATCAGTTGAAGACTGATTTCGATTTGAAAAATTCAGTTTTGCATGCTTTCTCTCCTTTGGTATTTGCGAATCTTCTTTAAGCATGGGCTATCGGTTCTACCGAATAGAGCACTCCCTCTTTTTCGAACTTGCGCATAGTTGACAGCATTTGACACATAGCACAGCTATAGCAACAGGCCACACACGCCACATCCTCCAGATTTCCCATGGTACCTCTGTCTTTACCAATGTTGAATTTATTCCGAATGTGGCTCCGAAGCAACACCACCAGACACACTTTTGCCAGAGCAATCATACCAAGAAGAGACATAAGACTACTAAAACAAGTTTTTCGCATAATCGTCATCGATGTTCGTTCTATTCTAGTCTATTCCCCACTTTCTTCGACCAAAAAATATATAGTCCCTCAAACCAAATATGCATATCAGGTTCCGTAAGTAATTACAGAAAAATTCTAATTTGACACCTTCCATTTTAAAATGATCCACTTCGAAAACACGCGCAAAAATGATCTCTAAAACTTCGAAAGGGGAAAAAATAAAAGAAATAAAAGCCTTGAACAATCATGGTTAAACAAAGACAACAGTGGTTTAAAAAAAGGTAAAATAATTCAATTTTTTGTTGATGTACTCCCATTTCGAGAAAACTGGATCAAAAATGATTTTTTTTATTCCGCTGGAAATTCGTATTTCTTGACATTAACAAAAATAAAAAAGTCCAACCACCAAAAATCATCAAGACCTTTATAAGAGAAAATAACATCGTTCTTTTACGCTTAAAGATGAAAATATTCATCAGCAAGAAGATTATCTTCAAAAATGAAATCATCAGAGATTACGGGATTCGAGATAAAACATTTGAAAAAACTGGATCAATAGATCAGCTTGAAATCTAAAAGTTAAAAAGTGCTTTGATATTCACAATTAAACATCACTCGTGCTAAAATTGTCATAAGAAAGAGGCAAACCTGAAACAAGCCTCTGAACAAAAAAGAAATGTTTTATTTTGTTTTTGTATTTTGCGTTTAACTTTCTCTTAGAACTGAAAGTTTAATCATCCGTTTTGTTTTATACTCCTCTAGCACTAAAAAATACCCCGTGAAAAATTTGTCAACACTTTTCCCGACGTTTCCTGTTTACTGGTTGGGGACTAATAAAAATACCCCGTGAACGTTAAGCGTTTTGTCGACTAACTTAGCCAATACTTTTTAGACCCTAATGTCTTTCTTACCAATAAGCGGCGTTCAGAGCAGAATATTTTCGTTGGAGATCAGAGTTTTCGCGGACGCTTTCATAATCGTACTGTTCTTTATTGACTTGCATCTCAAACTCAGTAAATTGCTTTGCAGCTAAGATCATTATCCAGAAGCTGTATATAAAGTAATAAGCAACACATGCGGCAACCAGCAACATGCCCACTCTCTTGTAGTTGGCCTTTATCGCTGTCATATACTAAAACATAGCAAACAGACCGTGAGAAAAACGTCAATGAATTCACGGAAACAAGGAATGAAGACAACTGATTTTTATCTGACGTGTTCGATATAAATCGCATCAAATTTACGCACTTTCCGATTCAACAAAATCTCATAGACATGTTTCTCACTCATTCATACGAAAACACTATACTATTAGATGTTTCTTTTTTATGTTGGACATTAATCAGGGTCAGATCCAAGAACTTCTCGAGTGGGCGGGCAGATTTTTATACCCCCTTATATTTATTGGTGATTGGCGCCAAAAAGGCAGCAAAAAAGACCCGCTCAAAACAACTCTAAATTGAAAGGAAGGAAGCTAAATGATCCAAATATTTTTAGAAGACAACAAATTTATCATTTTTTATTTGACATCAGTATATCAGATACGTTTCAGGCCAGCCGTAAAAATACAGAGGTTCGCCCTGATAGGCAGCACTGTTTAAGTTCAATTCAATATTTAAGATAAAGTAGAAGAGCTAACATTCGGATCTCCACTTTTACTTTTGGAGACTGTAGATTGAGTTTCACTACTCAACAGATTTTGATACGCGAACTTTGCAATTCAAATCGCCGATAAATATTGTACGCTTTGAGCACTGCATGCGCGAAAGCTAGAATTTGCAGTGACGTACAATTTAGCAATATATGTGACAAAAAATCACTCACTCCACCATTTCCACAAAAAAACAAACACAAACTATAATAAATTTTGAGTTTTGCTCCCCCAACCCAAAAAAAGTCTACATTAATGATAGCCCGCAAACGCTCACGCACGCAAAAAAAAATCTGAAAAAAAGCAAAAGAACAACAACACTGGCAAAACAAGAGCATAGCCAACCGAGTAGAAAAAGATTGAATGAACCAAGGACTTGTGAAAAGAAATGATTTGTGTTTTGAGTTACAAAAACATATTTATGCCCTTAAAGCTCTTCGAACTTCAAGAACAATTTATCTAGAAAAATTTTCGCTTAAAAAATTGAGACAACATGATCAATAGGTTAGTTTTTCTTCCACTGGGAAATCTACGAATTTAATATTCGAAACTAGAAGTCTTTGTCTTTTTTGTGTATTTCTACACATTTGCTGTTCGACAGTGAAAACTGACTAAGTTCAATAAAGGAAATAAACCGAATTTGAAAACGTCAAACACAAGCCACTAAATCAAAAATGGGCGAAAACCAATTGAAGGACTTTTTCTTGAAAAAAAAACAACACGACCTATTAAGAATCCTCACTACCTTCATTGGCTCTTAAATCATGAAGGAGCCTCTTTATTACATACAAGTATACACAAGTAAAATATCATTAGACAAAACCATTGCTAAAGACCGATCCCACTACACTGCTCGTCCCCATATGCGACACTGACTAATTGTACTTGTATTAAAAGAAGTTACATGTCATTTTGACCCAAGTCAGCTCGTCCCAGACCAGCTTGTCTTGCTCCAACTTGTGCCACGTAAAATTTTGCCCTATTCCATCCTGTCTCAGATTTGTAAATAACTAAAAACTGTCCCATATTCGTTGATATGCTCGCAAAACTTAGTGTCGGCATGAACCTAAAAGATAATTTGCTGAACAATCAAGTTTGAAGCAAAATGCGGAAATTTTAAAATATAAGCTGAATCAAATTGAGTTCGAAGCATCCATGAAAAAATTAAAAGCCGCAAAATTTCAACGCAACCTTCATGTCCAGTTAAACATCAAAAGATTGATTGCTGATTTTGTAAGCTTGAGTAACACATTAGTCCATAATTTTACTGTCAAATCGGAGAAACGAAAACACGTAGGTACTGCGAACATTCCTGGCGGGGTGAGGGAAATACAAAAATACTGCAGTTATTGGCCTTATCAACTCTTTCAACGGTGACTATAACCGAAAAAAAATTACAGACTTTAATTGAAAACCAAATCAAAATGCAACTAACTGCCGTCAAGTCAAATGAAATTATGCCGTCAATTTAAAACTGAAGAGACCTATTTGAGCTACTGATAACAAATAATCGTCCTTATCGGTGTTTTAATATTTGGAAACGGTTTGGATATTTGCATGGACATTGTTATTTTTTTCGACCCTGGTTACGCGTCCCCTCCATAGCCTTAAAACTGCTGAACTTTAAATTCATAGACTCCAACTGAATTTTATGGAGGAAGGCTAAAAGACTTGAGTGGCTTCCTTGAAATAATGCTGTCACTCCGAAATATGTTACACCGATTGTCGTTCGCATCAAAACTTTTGCTACTTTTAACCCAGAAATTCATCTAATAGGTCGATCTCCAATTTACGCTCTCAAACTATTGTTCGATTAAAATAATTATAGCCAAACATAATGCCAGTTTTTGACGGAGAGCCTGTGGATAACTGTGCTGCTTTTTCGTATGTTGCTTCTGGGAGACAAGCGACAATTATACTGTCATTAACGGGTACAACTAGCTGCTAGGCCCCTTTTTCTTCTGCTGCATAATCTAGTTCGCCAGAAAATTTCTAGAAATAACATTGTGGCTGGACTCGTTTATGTTAAATACAATTCATCTCCAGCTGTTACGGCGAGTATTCAGCTTTTATGGGAATTGCATCTTGCGCATCTCCAGTGTTCAATAGTTTGTTTTCTGCTTTCTGAAAAATCCTCTTGTAGACCATAATGAGCGTTGATTTATTTACAAGAGATATTTAAGCGATAAAAAAATTGAATTAATAACAAAAATACAGTGTCGTTATGTTTCAATGGCACACTCAATGGCACAAAAATTGCGTTAAATTCCTAAAAATTTTAGCTTAGATGATATTTTAGGCTCGACTTGAACCATTTTCAATTAGTCTATTTTGTAATCTCAAAGTGAGTGGCGTCAACAATTAGCAATTGCTGGTTCTAAAAACTACAACAGACAAATAAAAAACTGTTCATTATGGGGCAAAACGGCATACGACAAGTTTTCAAGTATGTTTTATTAAGATACAGTAAGTTGGCACATCGCTAACATTTGTTCTGGGGTAAATAGTCCTGGCACCATTAAAAAAAATGATCCTCAATTACAAACTAAGAATACCCATTGAATCCATGATCCGAAAGAAGTGTTAATTGCCTTCGTCACTTCATTTTAAGACTCGATGAACTCAAGGTAAGGTCACAGTGTATAATGATAGAAGAGAACAAAAATAAATCCAACAGACAGTTGGAAAAGCGTCATGGACGCAAGGAATCAGAAAAATGGATGGGCCCCCAAGCTCTAATAATTTCTAGAAAAATTTATCATTGACACTTTTTTGATAAAATTAACTCAATTTCAGAAAACTAGGTCAATAACTAAGCTTTTTACTCCGCTGGGAACTCTGAAAAATACAATTTGAACTGGATTACGTTTTTGGTGGTCTTTACACTTTTTCCGTTCGATAGTAGAGTTTATCTTGAAAAAATCAAGCTGCAAAAAATCAAATTGTACCGTGAAAAAACTTTAATACTTTTTACGGAAAAAACACAAAAAATCTCCAAGACCTATATAAGAGTACTAAATTTTCATGATAATAACTCATTTTTGCCTGGCAAATTAGAATTTTGTTCAAAAACTTTTTAAGAAATGCATCTTAGTAAAAGCAAGCGTTTGGTCAAATTCAATCTATGGTTAATTGTAACTAGAGTGCAACGCACCTCCGGTGCTTCAAAACTTTAACAAATCAAAAAAACAGCATATATTAGATCTGCATCCTTTGAGTGTACTCTGACTGCACCCAATTACAAGGTTGGAAAATTCAAACTTTGTAGTTTTTTTATTCAAGATTTTCTGAAAACCCATGAAATTTTGTCAATTTTTTGATATCTAAGTTCTTTAAAAAAAACTATAAAATGAATTAAGAAACGTCACATCTCGAAAACTAAATGCATCTGAGCAATCGCATTTAGATGCAAGATTGAAATTTCGTGCGAGTATTCTGACAGCACCCAAATACAGCGTTGGGAATTTCAAACTTTGGAAACCTTCAAGCTTAAGTTTTCTCAATTTTTTTTTTGAAAAACTAGAATTTTGTTCAAAAACTTTTTAAGAAATGCATCTTAGTAAAAGCAAGCGTTTGGTCAAATTCAATCTATGGTTAATTGTAACTAGAGTGCAACGCACCTCCGGTGCTTCAAAACTTTAACAAATCAAAAAAACAGCATATATTAGATCTGCATCCTTTGAGTGTACTCTGACTGCACCCAATTACAAGGTTGGAAAATTCAAACTTTGTAGTTTTTTTATTCAAGATTTTCTGAAAACCCATGAAATTTTGTCAATTTTTTGATATCTAAGTTCTTTAAAAAAAACTATAAAATGAATTAAGAAACGTCACATCTCGAAAACTAAATGCATCTGAGCAATCGCATTTAGATGCAAGATTGAAATTTCGTGCGAGTATTCTGACAGCACCCAAATACAGCGTTGGGAATTTCAAACTTTGGAAACCTTCAAGCTTAAGTTTTCTCAATTTTTTTTTGAAAAACCGTAAAGTCGCCAAATCTTTAAAATTACCAAGATTTGAGCAATCACAATTGGAGGCAACATTCGCAACCCTTGAAAAAACTCTGACAGTCCCCAACTAAAGAGTTAAGAATTTTACATTTTGAAAAAAAATCAAAACCTAAGTTTTCTGAAACATTTTTGAAAAAATCACAAAAAACGTCATACATCGAAAATTACAAAAATATGAGCAATCATATTTGTGGGGAAAAACTTGCAACCCCTGAGAGTACTCTGACAGCCCCCTGTTACAAGGTTTGGAATTATTAATTTTGAAAAAAAAATTATAATTTAAGTTTTCTGAAAAATTTAAAAAATCACAAAAAACGTCATATCTCGAAAATTACATGGATTTGAGCAGTCATATTTGGATGCAAGCTTTGCATTGTGGAACTCATGAGAGCAGCCTCAGACTGCCCAACTACAGGGCTGAGACTTCCAATTATTTCGATTTTTTTGAAAAAAAAATCATGAAACACGTCATATCTCGACAACTATAATTATTGGAGGCAAGACAAATTGGAGGCAAGACTCGTAATACTTGAGAGTATTCTGACAGCACTCAACTACAGCGTTGGGAATTTCTAACTCGGGAAAACTTCAAACTTATCTTTTCTCAATTTTTTTAAAAACCATAAAGGACGCCATATCTCGAAAATTACCATGATTTGAGCAATCACATTTGGAGGCAACATTCGCAATCTACTCTGACAGTCCCCAACCAAAAGTTTGCGAGTTTCACATTTTGAAAAAAAATCAATATTTAAGTTTTCAGAAACAATTTTTAAAAAATCACAAAAAACGTCATGTATTGAACACTACAAAAATATGAGCAATCATATTTGGGGGCAAAATCCGCACCCCCCGAGAGTACTCTGACAGCCCCCAATTACAGGGTAAGGAATTTTAAATTTTGAAGAAACTTAATATTCCCAACATCTCGAAAACTACCAAGATTTGAGCAATCACATTTGGAGGCAAGATTCGCAATCCTTGAGAGTACTCTGAATGCACCCAACTACAGGGTTGGGACTTTCCAGTTTTTTTCTAAACTTATTTTGTTATTTGAGTTTTCTGAAAATTTCTGAAAAAATCACAAAAATCGTCGTATCTCGTACACTTAAAGGATTTGGGCATTCATAATTGGAGGCCAAACTCGTAACCCCTAGGAGAACCCTGAAAGCCCACTATTGAGCTGCTTATTCTACACTGGGTGAAATAAACACTGAATTCAAACTGGAAAATAGAAAAAATCTTAACCATTGCAAAATACGATATGGCTTAAACGTGAAAAAATTCTTCGTTAAACATGCAAAAATAATACGCTGAAAAAGCTTAAACTTGGTGAGATAGTGAAGTCCGCATTTAAGTATATAATAGATAGATAAGGGTTTGAAAGACACTGCATGATGGCAGATCTATTTCAATACATTACTGTCTTCGCATTCACTACAAATGGTTTACCTCGGCGACACAGGGACAAAAGAGCTGCAGCAAGCACACTGGGACATCAGAGAAACAGAAGAACATCTCATAAGCCCAGATCCTCTCCCCAGATGCTGCATGGTTTGGCGCAGTTGGTTGTACGCAGTAAGGGGGTATCATTGGCGCACATGGTTGGCTTGAAAATTGCCCTTTGTAAGCTGGCGGTTCTTCAGGTGCAACATATGATGAGGTTGAGGTTGCTGAATCGTAACTTGGCGGTTCTTCATTTGCTTCTCTAGACTTGTCCATTTCTTCTGTAAAAATTCATAATAAGGTTAGCTAACAATTTGCGCAAACAATTCTTCAAGTTTTTGCGCAAATCCAGAAAACAACCTTATACGCAAAGCTGCGCGTCGCTTCATGGCGATTCAATCAACATAGCCAACTGACAGTTGAAAACGAGTAATCAACGCAACGAAACAGAAAACAATTGATTTGTTTTTTGAAAAAATCTCAGCCTGCGAATTTCGAGGAAGAATAAATGGCCTTAAACCTCTTCGAAATTCTAGAACAATTTATAATTGATAAATTTTTCATGAAATTAACCATGGGGGATCTAGGATTTTCTCGAGAGGGGGAGCGGATTTTCAAAAAATTTTCAATACTTTATTTTACCTTTTTTTAGGTCAACCAAATTCATTTGCCGAGCTCTCTCAAAGCTTAAAAAGACATCTTCTGGCCAAATTTTCAATGCCGCAGGCAAATTTCGAAAAACAGGCCAAAAAAGACGTTTTTAGGTACTTTTTTGAAAATTTCGACCAAAAAAGCGCGTTTTTTCGGCGCGCACTCCCCTCTCAAAATTAGTATATATTGGCCACAAAAGCACCTTTAGACAAATTTTAGGGTCGATCACCAAAAAATGGACATCTCAAAATAGTACAAAGGGGGCACCCTTTGGGTCGCCAGGGGGTCGAATCCCTGAGGAGGGAGGGCATCGTGCCCCTAAATCTGGATTTGAGAAAACTGGATCAACACGTAAAATTTTTGTTTCGCTGGGAAGCTGAAATTAAAATCCACTTTCGACACTAGAAGCCGATCACGCTTTTGTGACATTGGCCAAATTGAAACTTTTCCTGCTCGATAGTGGAACTGCTTTCTTTTTAACAAAGGAAATGTACTCAACTTAAAAAGAGTTTATATTAGCTAGCTCCTTAATATGTTGGTTCTTTTTCAATCAATCAGGGCTTTTTAAATCCTTTCAATCATTCAAGTTCGTTAAAGGCAAACAGCACTATGTGCGACATCCGGCGCATTTAGATTTAAGTTAACAAGATTGCTCGTGTATTAGGTCAAAGCCCTAAATGCTCCCACTGCCCCTTCGCTAGTCTCGAATAATTTTAGTTCAATAGAACTGATTAATGATAAATTTTGAACTGCCAATATCAAATATAAAGAGCTAAAATAAAGTGCTAGATGCGAATGAAAAGAAATAAACAGGAGTCGATGCCAATGCAGGACCAACAACCTGCTCCTTAAATCAGTTCAAATTGCTCTCTATATTAAATTGGAAGATCATAGCATTTATTTTTATAAATCAGATTTGAAAAATGGGGTTTAAATTTAACTGTTTTTGTATTTGAGTTGATATATTGTGCATCTGCTGCTCAATGTCATTTACATCGGACTTATTGAATGAACAATTTGCAGTACATTTTCGTATCAACAAAACTTTCAGCCTAACTAGCGTGTAACGCACCTCCGGTACTAATAATAAACCTCATATATTGGAAATAAGATCTGCATTCTTTGAGTGTACTCTGACAGTACCCAATTACAAGGTTCGTAATTACAAAGTTTGCAAAATTTTTTCTTCAAGTATTTTAAACAAATTTTGAAGAACCATAAGTTCTCTTATAGTATCCAACTACAACGTTGGTAAATTCACATTTTGGGAAGCTTCACCTTAAGTTTTCTAAAAAAAAGTATTTTTTGAGAACCAGAAAAAATTTCACATCTCGAAAACTGCCAAGATTTCAGCAGTCTTTTTAATGGCAATTTACGCAAACTTTGAAAGTACTCTGACAGCACAGAACTACAGGGTTGCGAATTTCACTATAGTGAATTGTTTTTTAATGAGTTTTCTGAAATCACAAAAATCGTCTTACCTATTTAACTAAAAAAATTTGGAAAATCTTAATTGGAGGCCAATTTTGCAACCTCTGAGACTACTCTGACTGCCCCAAACTACACGTTAGGAATTTCAAACTTTGAAAAAAAATAAATTCAAATAAAAATCACAAAAAACATCATATCTGAAAAACTGCAAGGTTTTGAGCAGTAATCTTTGGAAGCAAAATTCGCAACTCCTGAGTGTACCCTGACAGAGGCTCACTACATAGATGGAAATTTCAAGTTTTCTGAAATTTTTTATATCTATGTTTTCCGAAAAATTTTGAAAAACAAAATCCTAAAAAACGTCATTTCTCGAAAAGTACAAGAATTTTAGCAGGCATAGTCAGAGGCAAGATTCGCAAACCCTGAGAATATCCTCACAGATTCCAATAACATGATTGAGATCTTCAGCCTTTTGGATTTTTTAAAAATTTAAACTTTTTTGAAAAATTTGGAGAAAATCATGAAAAAACATCTTGAAATTACAAGGATTTGAGAACTGAGATTTGAAGGCAAGATTCGCAACCCCTGTGAAAACACTGCCAGCACCCAGCTACCGGAGTCGAAAAATGCCTAACTCGTAAACTAAAAGGATTTGGTTATATATATATATGGAGGCCAGAATCGCAAAACCTGGGAAAACTCTGACCATATCCCACTATTAGCTTGCTAATTTAAAACTTGATGAAGTAAACACTGAATTTAAACTGGAAAACAGAAAAAAAACGTATCCTCTGGTGCTTCACAACCCTGTAGTCTGAAATAAGATCTTCATCCTTTGACTAAACTCTGACAGCACTTAACAACAGGATTGGTAATCTCAAGTTTTGTAAAAGAAAATAATTTAATTCGTTTTTTACTGAAATTTTGAAAATCCTTGAAATTAAGAGGTTCTTTCTTTGGATAAATTTAAAATGACATAAAAAATCTTATCTCAGAAATCAAAAGCAAATGAGCAGTAGCATTGGAATACAAAACCTGCAAATCCTGAGTGTACTCTCACAACACCAAACTACAGATATGGGAAATTCAAAGTTTTACAGAAATTGTGCCCTCATATTTTGAGTCAAAATTTGCAACTCCTGGAAGTACAATGAAAAACCCTCTCAACTGACATCACTTTACTCTGCATCAGACGCTTTATTGCCCGCCAAGGAAAACCATTAAAAATTGTTTCTGGTTCTGGAACAAGTTTTGTCGGTTCTAATACTGAGCTGAAGAAATGCCTTGAAAGCTTACATATTAACCAAGAATTTTTGGACAGCGTCAATTTATTGGACGTAACTTTTGACAGGGAGTCCAACCCTCCAGCAGCGCCTCACTTTGGTGGTTCTTGGGACAGACTAATGCAGACTTTTGAAATCGCCTTGTTTTAAGTCATTAGCTCCAGAACACTCAACTAAGAAACACTGACAACTTTCGCCACAGAAATTGAGTCAACAATAAATGCGAGACCGCTCACAAGCGTATACAACGACATTAAAGATGATCTGCCGCTCATTCCAAATCACTTTTTACTTGATCGAGCAACTGCAAATCTACCAGCTGGTGTCTTCAAGGACAAAATAACATCTCTTTCGAAGTATTGGAAAGCTTCGCAGCTGCTCGCGGATCACTTCAGGAAGCGCTTCCTCAGGAAATATTTACTACCCGGTCAGCAGAAACGGACAAAATGGTCAACTTCAACTTCAAACTCTAAACCAAACGACATGGTTTGGAAGCTCGAAAACGGCATCTCCCTCGGATGATGGCCATTACTCAAAGTCGTCGAAACATTTCCTGGACAGGATGTGATCGTAGGCTGTTAAATTAAAAACGCATTGCGGATTCAAAGTTCGACCTGTTGTCAAGTTGAGTCGCGTTTTCCCAGTTTCAAAGTAACCAATTAACAGTCAATCAAAGTGATTATCATGCAACTGAGACTTCAACAAATCATTAAACCAAAATGAACATCTGGATGATCTCATTAACTACCTAAGAAAAAGATGTTAAAGAACAGTTTCTGGTTCCCTTAAACCCTGTTTTCCTTATCTTTGTTCTTACTTTACCGTATCCTTACTGTTTAATCTTTTACTTTTTTACAAGCTCTGCAAATGTGGGCGGGTATCAATTCCACAAATTGATTTTTAGAACTTAATTACTTTTTTACCGCGATTTTTTTGCAACTAAGCTAAACCAATCAACATTATACAAAAGCAAGTCAGTGACATCACAAATGTTGCAACAATTCAAATATGGTAATTTACTGCTACACAATTCAATTTAGAATTTTCAAGGTAATCGTTATTTTCAAATTTAATTTCTCTAGAATTTAACTTATATTGTTCTTACACGTAAACTTACTTATTCAAACGGTAACCATCTTGATCCCCCCTTTCTCTTTTATTTATCTAATATACTAATTAGATAACTATTAACCAATTTGGAACCCTGTTTCCAAAACCTATAATACGAGTTTTATAAGACAATAAAGACCTTCTTACAATTTATGGACTACTTTGACTGAATTCTTTGCTACTGGACTAAAAGATCACGCGTTTATAATTTTTATTTTCGCCTAGTGTAGTTTTTCGCCTATTATAGCCGCCCCCTTTTCTACATTACATATGACGGAGATTCAAAAAATCCAACAATTATCTCAAAAATTGATATTAATGAACTGTTTGAAAATCAAAGAGCAATAAAAAATTTCAGGGTATCGCCCTGAAACGAGCAGTTTTTTAAATTGAATAAAAATGAAAGGCTGCTTTAATTTGCGTATACTTTTCTTTCATCAGAGAAGGTCGTCACATCTTACTGGACAAACTGAAACATGATCAGCACTGCCTTCTATTCAACTCAAACAAGAATTTGGCCGAAATCGATCTTTGTGATAGCTTATGTTTTCATCATCTGAACCTGACTGTATCTCTCAGATCTACATGTGAAATAGTCAAATTTGCAGATAATTGGATGCAATTCTACCCCGATTCGAGAAAAACTGAAGTAGATTGTAAATACGGGCAGAATTTTCATGGCGAAAAACCAGATATTCGATTTGTTTCGCGAAAAGGTCTGTCACAATCCAATTTTGTGAATGAATTTGTTCAGAAAAGTGTGGTTACGATAGAAGACTACATGAAAATAGGTTTTGATTTCGATTTTATAGCAGTCATAATTGAAGCACCAAATCTATTGCTGGACCAATTAGAGTGTTCTCTGAAACTCAAAAATATAGAAATTGAAAAAAGTTTGCGTGGCTTTGATGCCACAGCAAATAATGTTCCCGTTGCCAGCCCTGGTCAACCTAGAATACGCTTTTATTCGTTCAACGAGGTTGAAGGTGTGGAATTTGGAATAACTCTGGTTCTAATGTGCAACTTGATGATGCACGATTACGTAATGCCTGGAATGGGCATGTGGCTTCTCACTATAATTACTACAGCATCGACAAAACTGGCCATTGTCCATACATTTGACAATATAATTGAAAAATGTGACCCACAACCCGTAAAAAGTTGTGCAAACAAATCGGTTTTGTTCGAACCAGTACTTCGACTAGTTGAAGCAAGCAGGCTCGCCATTTTGGTTGGAGCGAAATATAAGTATCCAGTTCTAGAAAAGATGCCAAACACAGAAATCAACGGAGTCCAGCGTCTCAAAGGACTGGACGGCAAGCTCATCCTTCAGGTAGACGATCTGTTCAGAAAGTCAGACATAAAAGAGTTACATAGGGTGGGAGTAAAAGATGTTATTATAGTGGGCGATGATAATCATTCTAACCATTCCAACTACAAGTTTTTCAGAAGCTCAGAAATTTTAATAAACTCTGTGAACTCTGCGATTTCGGGCAATTTAGTTGTATTCAACTGGGTGACAAATTTGTACAGCGAATCTTCAGCTCTGCTACATCTCACTCATTTTCTACATGAAAATGCACAGGTCAGTGCTTCACAAGCTCCACAATCGGGTATTGAAAAAATTTTGGCCATGCAACAAAAGCTACCAAGTTCAGGAGCTTGTAGCAGGTGGGAGATCTGGAAAGAAAAAGGAACCGAGCATTACGCCCTCAATAACCTGATACACGCATTCGATATGCATAAAAACAGCCTGAAATTTCTCAGCCAACAACACGACAACCTAATCTACCAGAGAGACTTAAATTTTGCCAAATTTGATCAAATTGAGATGTCCAAACTACATTTGATTATAAGCAAGCTTTGTCTTGAGCTACGAGAAATGTTTGGCGCAGGCTCAAACGGTATTTGCTTCACTTCAGAAAACGAGGGAGATTTAACGTTGGAACAAAGTGCCGCAGAAGGGTTGGACAATGTTTTAAAAGCTATCCATTTAAACCCTTACCATCAGCAAAACTACGAGCAGGCCAATCGGTTGATCGAAGTTATCACTTCTGAATATCATATCAAACTGGCAGAGAATGAAAAACGACGGCTTCCTAATCAACCTATAATAGAGGATATGAATCGAGAACAAAGATTAGACCATGAGGTTCAGATGGACGGTAATATTTCTATTAAACAAGAACAAATTCAGCAACAACGAAACGAGTACAACGTCGTCGATACCGAACAAACTGACGAAAAACAGAAACGGAAATTTGCATTGGCGGATAGCATCTGTGATCTAGCACAATTAGGCCTACTGCGCGTTCGATTGGTCGAAACTATGGCGACTGATAAATACAATCTTCTAGAATCTCGAGCAATTAAAGCTGAATTCTTGACCAAGTATTCATTCAGATATGTAATGGAAGCTCTGGAATTGAACCCAAACCAGGCACAAGCTAAGGAAATTCTAAGTCAAATTTTTGCAAGCTTGACCTTTTGGATCAAAGAAGTCCATTCACTAGCTGCGGAAATCAGAGAAGCCGATTTCTTCCTACTAAGCCGATTTCTTCCTTAGTTGAAAGAATATGCAGGGACATTAGTGGACAGTAGTGCTCGGCTAGCTTGACGATAAAGGAAGAAAAAGTGAAGTATTAAGAAAATAACAATAAAAAGGAATTTCAAAAAAATATCAGCGAACAACTGAAAACAAAAAAAAAGTAAATGAGAACAGACTGGTCATCGCTAGAAGCTGTGTTAATTCAACTTTTATAACAGACTGAAAATCAACAAACACAAGCTTGATGACGCAGTCAATTTCTAACCTGATGCTAGAGCTCATTTGCTGACTCTTCCTTATCCTGACGCTCAAAATTCGAAATTATTTCACAAAATTATTGCTCCGACTTTCGAAGAAAACGGACTATTCATGCTCGGGGTGGTTTTTTTATTCAGTCAATTTTTGCCGATCGAAATAATAGTTTTCGAGAAAAAAATTTGTACCACATTGAAGATATCGATTTCCTGAGTTCAATTTTAAGAAAAGATATTTGATTTCCGATTATTTTTGCAAATTTATGGGAGTTTGAAAATTTCTAATTTGATCATGTTCTGAACCAAAATAATTATGCGCGCTCTGCATAATCTATTTTTAATGCTGAGAGCGTAACGCGAATTGTTTATGCGTGGCAAGCTATTGAGACACTTCGATTTTTTCCAAAATTTACGAGCTTTCAAATTTTTCTTTTTTTTTCAAAAAATATTCGATATGAATTAAGGGACAATCGGAACATTCAGGGCTTTGCCCTGATAAACGAGCAGTCTTGTTATGTTAATGCCTCTATGCTGTTAATTATATTTGGTAAAAACTCTAAAATATCTTTATCAATACTTGCTGTATATGCAGGCGAATTTGCTAAAGAAAAATGGAACATGGGAAAAACGCGAAAAAAACGTCACAAAAAAGTAAACGTTTGGACGCAGCCTTCAATTAATTTCACGCAGAAAAATTTTTCTCATGTTTTTTTTTCTCAGCAAATGAAGTTAGTATGGCGTCGAATGTTGGAAAAACCCTAACTCTTGTCATATACCTTGCAACTAAATAACTTGTCTCAACGAATCAAATTGTGTAATCCATAAAAGCTTACGTACAATGCAAGTAACAAAAAAATTTTACTACACATTTTAAGGCTAACAAATTATCCATGAGTTGGACAAAAAAAACTAGTAATGGAAATTGTATGAGAAAAATTACTTCATGGTTAGGCTAAGTAGAAATTGAAACAAGACTGCTCGTATCAGGACGAATCCCTGAATGTTCCGACTGCCTTTTCAGCTTTATGGAGCAGTAATAACATGAAAAAATTAAAAGTAATAAAAATAGAGAAGTTTTTTTCTAAAATTTGAAATTTTTAAACGAAATTCATCCCCCCTCACGCCATATAAGGTACAAAAGGATAGATTTCGCTCCTTGTAACAAATCAATTATGGCAAATAAGCTTCTTGCTACCAATTTGGAACAATTTCTAAGACGGATTAACTCTCCGCTTACGCGTTAATAGCGCGAAATATCGAGCGTTCATTGTCCCAAATTGGCCAAAATGGCAATCTTTAAACCCCCATAACTTTACGAAAAATGATCACAGGTGAACTATCTTTTCAAATTTAAGCTCAGGATAACAATACCTTTCGAATGATATAAAAAATTCCGTCAAAAATGGCTAGTTAAAAAGTCGAAATTTGTCTGAAGAAAAAAAAAACCCACCCGAGCACAAATATTCCGTTACTTTCGTATCGAAAGTCGGAACAATAAGATGACGGAACTTTTTAAAAATGTTAATGTTTTTGAAGTTTTATTGGTTTATATTTAATACAAACGCTCATTGGATTGAAGGTAATGCCATTATCTCTAGACCGAAATGGTGGAACTTGTAATCTAAGAAATGAGCGATTAGGTACAAAATTCAGTAAAAGTTCCCGCCACACTGCATTGAATCATTGACACTAATAGCTTCTCTCTGTTGTTATTGGAGGAGTTTGACAAAAGTTTTAACCATTTTTTGTATAACAAAAAGTAGAGCCCTTTATGACACATGAACAGCAATTTGTGTTAAAGATGAAGTTTGTTTTGATTAAAAATTACTTCAACTTGTTTATTACAAGTGAAAATTAATCCTACAACTGAAACTCATGAATATAATTGAAAGACAAAAAATATGATATTCTTAGACGAAATACACGATGGTTGAAAACAAAGAAATTTTTAATTTTGTCATAGGTTTTAATTATCATGGTGCTGATTGCTTTACAAACCGTTATTATGTATTATACGTTAAGCAATTTCAATTCGGCTTTCCAATGGAAAAAGAGTAAATCTAATTGTTCTGACTTTCGAAAAAAAACAGAACCTTCATTCTTGGTGTTTATTTTTTAATTAGTCAATTTTCGGCAATCGAAGGATTAGTTATTCTACAAACGATTTTATACACCATTGAAGATATCGACTCAGATAACATAGAAAGCTGTATTTTACCTCCGAATTTAGAAAATGTCAATTTGTAGATTTTATCTAAAATTCTAAAAAGGTAACTCGGAGGTAAAATGGTAATTTTTTATGCGTGGAAACATATCCCGCTCAAAAAAAATGGTTTCAATTTGAATTGAGACCTGCTAATAAGTCGTCTTAACTTCGTACGACTCGAAACTTTACGCATGATCTTTGATATTGTCCAAAATTTTTAGTTATTAGTTATTCGAAGGGGCATTCGGGCCGTTCAGGGCTTTGCACTGATATACGATTTGAAGCCACATTGTTTTTGGCGGAAATTTCCTACTACAAACCAATGCATCATTTTAAAAATTAGTAGGCATATGTTGTACCAAATAATAATCAAACGAAATTTTTTCAGGGCCGTACCTTTTTGTGAGACATCCGTTGAATCTTGTCTATTTTCTGCAAACCAAAACTGTTCTATAAAGTTTAAGACAATATGGACTTTGAAATTTGACAAAAAAATTTATAAAACAACTCCCATAGAAACTGAGTGACACAACTTGCATGTAAGTAAGAAATATATGAAACAAGCTGGCAGTTTATGTTAGAATTGTAGGATTATACGAGACCAAACTGTGCATTGGATAGGCGTACAATTTGGTGTGTGTAGGTGTCTGGAATCCGGAGAAAAGTCTTTACCGATGTTAAAATTTTGACAGAACAATTAAAGAAAACAAAAAAGAGCAAAGAGAGCGTCCTTTTTGGGGAATCCGCTTACAATTTGTAAAATACACAGTTTAGCCTCATAATGGAAGTAGTAGAAGGTCCAACACCGGTAACGCTGGGGGGGGGGGGGGTTGAGCAGGGTGCGGAAAAGAGCAAGAGCAAAATTTATGTTTATTATATTTTCGACTTGTTGCACTCGGTGTTTACTACCATTTAATTCCAGCAGGAAATACCCACGCTGAGTTTGTAACGCAAACTTGTTTTTGCATGTAACTGATACAAATGCATGTATGTGCCAGTCGGTCATATTTGGAAGTTTGACCTTGAGAGAAGCAAAAAAACACTTGATTTTGGAGTGAAATTTAATTTTTCAAAATTTCGAATGGAACCTGTCATGCACGATTTTCTCGCGAGAACTGAAAATCAGAAAAAGAAGTTAGAACAATTTAAGAACAATTGAGTCGCACACGCGGGAAAGTTGTAAGAAAAAGCAGTAGGAAATTGCTATTCGCAATTTCCATCACTATCATAATCGAGAGTAGAGCTGTCCCATCTGTGACAGAGACGAGAGCATTCCCACGAATTGGATTATAGCGACTGGAGTGTTATTCGGAACTGGACTAGAGTGAACCTTCGGTGGAAAGGTGGACAACTTGAGTGTCCTAATGGTTCACAAGAAAACTATTGTCTAGAGTATAAACTCGTTCTCATTGTTAAAACTATAAAACATTAGACTCATTTAGTTGCGTTATTTAATTCTTGAGTTAATTACCGACTGGATTATTTCCCACTTCTTGAGCGTGCTACTATGTGAGTACAAATTTAAATTCCTAGAGTGTGTTTTATGATTGTTATGTTGAGGTAAGGCGAGTTTTAGGTTGATCCATCTGAAATGGATCAAAGTTCCACTGTCTAATAAAAAAGCAACTTAACGGATTGTTCCAACCCGGTTTTTAACGGCGTTCATGTATTTTGGGTATCTAGAGACCTAAGTATGGGGACGTTTCTAATTCTAGAGTGGGGGGATATTTTAGTAGTAGCCTTTAAGCTGTAACGGGTCGTAGTCTCATGTCACAAGCGAACCGAACTGGCTCCGACCGTTCTTGAGGTAGAAAAACACAAGAGATGGTGTCCCTGACCCTTGAGCCAGTGGTTATAGGGCCTATTTTTCTTAAGCCTCATGTGTGACTGCAGTAGACGAATGTTACATAGTGTTTTTATGGCGCTCCTGGGTGTTTACGACATCAAGACTACGGAGTCGAACCCACTTGAGACAGCTTCGGGCTGAATGCCCATTCTAGAGTACCGGCGGTACGGTTCGACAGGAACGTGCAAACCTTCCGGTTGTACCGTGATAGCTTTTTAAGAAAACTCGAGAAAATTTCCTGGTACGCTCTCCGAACGAGGCTTAGCTAACCGAGTAAAGGGGGGCAACTAGGGGGACAAAAACACGAGCAAAAAGACAAAAAGCAAAACAAAAACCAAAAAAGAATAGAAAAAGGAACAAAAACCATAAAACGAAAAAAGACAGTGACTTTGACACCAGATTAGTTGGATCAAACCTTTATATTAATTAAATAGTATACCCATACTGTTTTACAAGTTCGATCGTTTCGATCAACCTAGCAATTTAAACCAGTAAACTGAAAAAAGTGCCCGAAGTGGGGCGTGGTCAAAGGTTTTCAGATAGCTTGGAACTTAGCTGGACCAATAGGAGACTTAACTGGAAGAGGTGACCAGCCGAGTGGGAAAGTGGCTCAGGGACACTTGAATTGAACCAATAGGAGACTTGACTGGAAGAGGTGACCAGCCGAGTGGGAAAGTGGTTCAGGGACATTTGAGCTGAACCAATAGGAGACTGGACTGGAACAGGTGACCAGTCGAGGGGGAAAGCAGCCAAGAAGGATTTGGCAATTCTCGAGTTCTCAAGTTGGGCAGAACGGGTATCGTTAGAATCCACATTACATTATAGGAGATAAGTGTAAAATTGGATAAGCGAAATCCCCCAGTTTTGAGGAACGTTTTTACTTGAGCAGGCCTGGAAACAGGTCTACGGTTTTCTCTTGAGAGGTTTAGCACCCGGCGCTTAAAGTAATTTTTAGGCTTAAGAAGGGGGGCTAGAAAGGGGGGAGGTTAGAAGGGGGACTGGTTAAGTTAGAGGTTGGCGGTTGTAAATTGTAAAAAGGGGGAAATTAGAGTAACTAATTAGTCGACATCGTTGACTTAGTTACATTAGAAATTAACACGCGTTGGTAATATTAGGTGGAGATCCAAAATTCAACTCGAGTTAAGACTGGTACGCTGGTTGGTTTGGTAGGGGGGACCGGATATAGACAGCTTTTGTGATACCCCATAAGATCACTAGTGGGGGGAGGAAAACGCGTGGCAATTAGGTACCAGACATTTTTTTTTTTTTTTTTAGACCAAAGGTAGACATTGGTCACCTTTGAATTTCAGGTGGGCTCATTTTTCTGTTTTTATCATTTTTCTTACTTAGATTTTTGTTGCATTTTAGTGAGGATTTGTGTTTGGTTTTATACGAACAGGTGATCACAAGATACCTGCGCACCTACATTGAAATAGAAACAACCGAAAGAAGAGGGGGGTCAGCATTTGGCTTTTAAGAGAGGGTTTTTGGGAAAATTTTACTAGAGCTTGAGTGGTGGTACAAGGTACGGTGATTCAAGAAGACCCTACAACGAGGAAGACACTCCGTGACGAGTATTGGGACAAGACCGAAGAAGTCTTGGGACAGAGCAGTCTTGGGATAGTGGTCTTGGGACAGGGTCTTGGGACAGTGGTCTTGGGACAGGGTCTTGGGACAGTGGTCTTGGGACAGGGTCTTGGGACAGTGGTCTTGGGACAGTGGTCTTGGGACAGGGTCTTGGGACAGGGTCTAGGGACAGGGTCTTGGGACAGTGGTCTTGGGACAGGGTCTTGGGACAGTGGTCTTGGGACAGTGGTCTTGGGACAGGGTCTTGGGACAGGGTCTTGGGACAGGGTCTTGGGACAGTGGTCTTGGGACAGGGTCTTGGGACAGGGGTCTTGGGACAGTGGTCTTGGGACGGGGGTCTTGGGACAGGGTCTTGGGACAGTGGTCTTGGGACAGTGGTCTTGGGACACTAGTCTTGGGACACTAGTCTTGGGACACCAGCCTTGGGACACTGCTCTTGGGACACTACCCTTGGGACACTAGTCTTGGGACAGTAGTCTTGGGACACTAGCCTTGGGACACTAGTCTTGGGACAGTAGTCTGGGGACACTAGCCTTGGGACACTGCTCTTGGGACACTACCCTTGGGACACTAGTCTTGGGACAGTAGTCTTGGGACACTAGCCTTGGGACACTAGTCTTGGGACAGTAGTCTTGGGACACTAGCCTTGGGATACTAGTCTTGGGACAGTAGTCTTGGGACAGTAGTCTTGGAACAGTGGCCTTGGTACAAGGGTCTTAGGACACTAGCGGAGAGTACTGTGATAGTGACGAATAGTCTTGGGACGGTATAGAAATTGAAGTCAGATTACAACAAGTGCGTTTTAAGACAGAATAAGACAAATCGAAATAGGTAGGGTTAAGACCAAATTAAGGAAAATTTTTCGGAGGTTTTAGAAAGAGAATTGGATAAGGTTTTTAACACGTTGTACAGAGTTTGTTACCACAAAAAATATTTTTTTTACCCTTAGAATAGAATCGTGTATATAATAAAATTGTAAATAGAAGCAGTTGTAAATAGAAATAATGAGGCGGAGTAGGGTACCGGTGCTCGAAAAAAGGTCAAGTGGATCAAACACGAAATATAATTCATCGCTGCGCGGAACGACATCAACGGGCCCAAAGATAACGAAGACGAACTTTTCAGTTAACATGGTCAGCACAAGGAGTACAGCGGAGAACAGGGCGAAAGAGGGCACGGAAGGGGAGCGAGTAGAACCCACCATCGAGATTGATCTAGAGACACCCGATCAAAGTGTGGATGAAACAAGGAAGATGGCGACAGAGTCAACTCCAATGCCCAATGCAGAGGAACCGAACCAGAAACCCATAGAGTTCTCACCGATAGATGACGCGGAAGACGCAATAGGCAACACCGAAGAAACGGTGAAAGAAGACTCTCAAGTAAAGAGGACATCTTTTACGGAAAAATTGGGAATAATGTTCGGAATAAAAACAAAAGAAAACGTGACTGAAGAACCAAAAGCAGAAAGAGCACGAACATTTGGGACAGTGAGCACGAAGACCTCAGAAGCCAATCCAAGAGAGGAACAAGCTAAAGCAGAGGCTACGGCCGAAGAGAGACCGACAGCTGACCATGAAGAGACTACCATTGAGCTGGGTGACTTGTTGGCGAAATTAAATCAGATTGACAAAAGACTTAAGCACAGTGAAGAAGACAGAGAGGTGATAAAAAAGGAGATAAGATACAACAAGCACGAGTATCTAGACAGTTATTTTAACCTAGCTAAGGCAACAGATGAGAGACTCAAGGAAATGTCAGATAAGGTAGAAGCCACCAATGAAGAACGAGAAAAGAACATCAAAACAGACATGCAACAGTTGAAGAACCGATATGATGATGTCAACAGCCAATTAGGGAGCCTGGAAAGGAGAATGGACACAATGAGCAAGAGTCAAGCCGAGAGTTCGTGTGCAATACAGGCGAAGTTGGATGCAATCTTGAGAGGTTCTACTCCACAAGAAAGACCGGCAGCGGATCGTACGCAAGGCACCAGAGTCGACTTTGTAGAACCA